CCTCCCATGTTCATCGTTAATGGTCCGGCCACCCCCTACCCCTACTCCTGCACCAAGTCGGTAACCCACTTGAGATTCGGAATTATTTCAAAATGCATACTTTCAAATAGCAGAGGATCTCTACTACACTGAAATCTCACTACCTGTATTTGATCAGCTAATGAGCGATTATTGTTATCTAAAGAAATTATACATAGTAGGGAGTTACGGAGAAGCTCTTTACAGGTCCTGATGATTCCTGTACTATGTTGTAGAGAGAGGAACAAGTACGGGGAAGAGCAAGACGGTACCTTGGTCGAGAAACTGCAGCCCGGGGTTGGTGGAGGCATCTGAGGAGGCTGAGAGAAGCTTGCAGGTGACAGGGCACCTGTGACTGCAGGTTGTCCAAGCTGACCCCATTCCGACGTTGGCTGTGTCTTGTTAGATTTATTGGTGCCTGTGGTTTTAGTTTTCCTTTTCTGAAAGTAGATCCCAACCCTCTGGGTAATGGTTTGCAGTTTGAGGTAAACATTACTACTGAGCCAATCAGTTTTTTATTACTAGATTATAAAGATACTAAAACTTCTGTTTCAGGAAACCGGACCACATGGAGTCCGTCCTCTGAGAGATGACGGGAGGTGTACAGCCCACAGTGATGGGAGTTTCACACAACAACCGGGAATCTCCCCTCCTCCCTGTGGCCCGAAGGATGCTGCACCAGGATTTGGAAAATCTAGAATTGAATTGTGTCTCTTTGGTGCCCTCCTGGTGAGACTTCCCCTTATCCCACATGTAAAGAGAGGTCCTGACTCCACATCTCCTTCCCACGGAGTTATACACACGAGTTATAGTGAACACAGTTCTGAAACATAACGGGTGATGGCCAACTACGGGTGGGTGATTGTTCACTATGGATTTGTTGACTCCAAACCTCATTTTCATTCTGCCCCTGGAATCCCTTTTTTCTTGATTCTTCTATTTGCAGGTTGAGAAATGAAGGAAGAGCTAAGTGCTCCCAGGAAGCTAATCAGGGGAAGAGCCATAGGGGAAGCTTCTTCAGCGGGACCTTTTGCATCTTACCTTCGACACAAGTGTATCATCCAGTGGCCGTGAAGCCTTGTTTGCGGTGGATGTCGATTCATCAGTACTGGACGCCTCCTGCTTTCTTTTCTTCACTGGAGCCAGTCCCTGAGTTTTGTACTTCTTCATAACTGAGGCAGCAAAGAGAACATGGTAAATCCAAAGAGGCCCTTCTAGGGCAACTGCATCACGTGCGGTGCTATTTCCTCGGAGCTCCTGCCTGTGGGTCTGAGGTGGCTTTTCTGTCCCCCCTGTGTCCATCAACCAGCCAGCCCGGCTACAGGTGCTGACTCAGTCTCCGATGGTCTCCTTCCTTCCCCACGGGCACAAGCCCACCCCTCCGTCGTCCGGACTCCCGGGAACCTCAGTCAAACCCTCTTCCAACCCATTTATCCTATATTTTCCTTTTAAGAATATTAAGTTTTCAAAATGCCGATGGTGGGTTAACTCCTATGGAAGGTCTATTTGAATTACAGCAAGCAGAGAAAGGAAATCCGATCTAATTAGTGACGTGACAAACTGGTGATGCTTGACTTTTTAAAATATGTTTTTACGAGCCACTGATTTTACGGGAGGCAATGGTTTCACATCTGCGAGAGAGGAGTTTTTCTTTAAGCACTGCCTCACGTTTGTTGCTAGGGAATAGAGTAACGGTGGGATAAATATTGTGAGGGAGCAGTATACGCACCGTTTGCAGTATTTTTAAGAGTCACAATTTTTTCCTAATTTTGTCGTCACCCTGTAACCATTGTAATGTGGGGGAAGCCTCAGCCTTTGTCGTCAACTCCTTCTGCTTTTTTTCTTTACCCACACCCCCCAAATACACCCTGTAAAATACAGTGCCCCCCTTTGTAGGAAAGGAATTGTTCAACTGTCAACCTGTTGGTGCTTGAAGGGCCACCTCATCTGGGCAACTGAGTCGTAAATTGGCAAAGGGATCTCCCTGCTGTGCCGACACCAGGGCTCTGCTGGGCACAGAGGGCGGGCACATGGACAGTGAGGGCTCCTCTGTATTACCTTTTCTCTTCTCATTTTTAATAGTTTTCACAGTGTCTTCTAGTCCTTCTATGTCTTTGAGCAGCATCAGGAGTTTGTTCACACAGAGAATCCCCCGGAACTTCTTGTGCATCATGTCAGCAATCTTGACCTTGGTATAGTCTTCTTTCATTTTTGAAGTCAGTCCCAAATCAGAGTCCAGCAGGGACTTAACCATGCTAAACTGGTCGTCGTTGAGGGGCTGAAGCCCTTTCAGCAGAAGAATTCTCTTGCATTCTGTCTCCATCTCTCAAGGTCTGTCTAAGCAGGAGAAAAATACCATAGGGCGTTACATTCTCATCGGAACAATTTAAAAGCCTGGTTGTGTCTATGTGGGTGAGTGGCCCATGTCAAGGTGTTGTCCTTGAGTGTGTGTGACAAAGACCAGGTACATCACTGTGCAAAAATCTGCTGCATTCAGAACTTCTTTTTTAAAAAAAAATTTTTTTTTAATGTTTATTTATTTTTGAGACCATGCAAGAAACAGAGTGCAAGCAGCGGAGGGGCAGACAGAGGGAGACACAGAATTTGAAGCAGGCTCCAGGCGCCGAGCCATCAGCCCAGAGCCCGACGCGGGGCTCGAACCCACAGACCGTGAGATCCTGACCTGAGCCAAAGTTGGACACTTAACCGATGGAGTCACCCAGACGCCTGCATTCAGAACTCCCAAGAAAGTCTTTTCATTTAATAATGACAGTTGTGTCGGGTCAGGGCAGGTGTGGTGGCAGGAGGTCTAGAAAGAGGTAGTGTTTTCTGTGCGTGGAGTGTGGGCTGTACGGTGTCACAGGGCACCTGCTCCCGGCTGCCATCCCCTACTGGGGCTGCGGTGTCTCCCTGGATGTCTGCTCGCTGTAACAGGTAACAGGTAACAGGTAACACCCTGTTACCCTCTCTGATGGTCGAGTGGACCGCAGTCTCTCACCCTCCGTGACTGTCCCCGCCACCGGGGCGCTCGCTTCCACACCAGGGACCTGCCCATGTCCGCCTGCCTTCCTCTAGCCAGTCCTTCTAGCGTCCCCTCTCCCTGGGGCTTGGGCATGTCCTCTGTGTCCTCTGCGCCCTTGTCCCCTGCTGGCCTTCTACCTGCTTCCGCGTGCACAATCACAGCATTTTTTTTCTGGGACCATTCAGCAGTCCTCTCACTGGAGTTCTACACTCCGGCTAGAGCAGGAACACTGCACTCCTTTGGCGCGATTATTTAGCAGTTCCTTGATTTTACCCTTCTAGGCTGAATTCCTCTGAACGGTTCTTTCAGAGAGCCAGATGTCCCTCTATCCAGCCATGGCTCTGTCCCACTTGGCAGCCGCCAAGAATTCCCCTGTTTGTTTTTGAGATTCTTCCTGCTCCCCACCCTAGTTTGGAGAGCCTTGAATAATCTGCATCTCTCTCTTTTTTTTTTTTTTTTTTACATCTGTGCCTTTTGTAATTCTTGCGGCTTACGCTCCAGAAATATACAACCCATGTCGCCTCTTCATGCATCAGGACTTGGCTAATTCCCTCCCTGCTGCCTAACAAGCTGCTCTCGCCTTTCTTCCTCCGACTGACTCCTCGGAGCCTTCAGGACTCCGCTGAGGCTTTGTCTTCCAAAAGCCACCAGAGTCCCCCTGTTGGACCGAGGGTCCCGCCTCTGGGCGCCTTTAGCACCTCTCGTACTTCCTCTATGGCACTCAGTACACGGTACGGATTCCACTTTTCTGTTTAAATTCATCAATTGTTCTTATTCGGGCACCGTGTGTTTGTGTAGCTTCTGTATAATTAGCATGTTCAAATCCCCAGGGCTGTGAATGATTCCTTCCTGTGAGGGTACGAGATCCTCGGATTGGTCGGGCTCATGGATTGAAGGATAAACCCACAAGATGGATGATAGCAGAACTGAAGATCATTAACAACAAAGTAAAAACTCTGAAAGCTTCCAGAAATGAAGAGCAGATTACCTGTAAAGATTCAAGGAGCAGCCTGAATCTGACACTCAACCGCAAAGCTGTCCACCAACAGTAAAACAGGGTAATTTTCAAATAGTATTTGTTCACATTCCATATCTGTTTCAAAGCTGAATAGTGTTTAAAATGAAATTTTTGTGTGTGCGGTATATATGAGTGTGACAACATAATTCGTTTGCAAAATAAGATATAATACGATATAAGGTGACAGGAGGCTAGGTCTAATCTTTGTTCATTCCTCTTAAATATGAACGTGCATTTTGTATTTCCAAAATATTAGTGTGTTTGATTTTAGAATAACCATCCAGACCCCTCTTGGGTTTCTAGTATTACAGTATTTGTTTTTGTGTCTTGTTTGTTTGTTTCTATTTTTTTAATGTTTGTTTATTTTTGAGAGAGAGGGAGAGAGAGCATGAGCAAGGGAGGGGCAGGGAGAGAGGGAGACAGAGGATCTGAAGCAGGCTCTGTGCTGACAGCGGAGAACCCCATGTGGGGCTCGAACTCATGAACCATGAGATCATGACCTGAGCCGAAGTCAGACACTCAACCGACTGAGCCACCCGGGTGCCCTCTAATATTATAGTATTCAAAGTAGGTACACTAAATAGCCTTTCTGAAATGCCCCGATTGTGAATTTTGAAACAGATGCAGCCCCAGGGGTATCAGAAAAGGTACTGCCTACATAGAGGGAGGGCAGAATAATTTTGAGAGCAGAATTCTAAGCTGGTCAAACTGATATTTAAATGTGGGGGCCTCAGAAACTATTCTCTGATATTCAAGGCCTTGTGGTTTGTACGACAAAGACCTATAAGGAAACGCCTATTGGAAATGATATTCAATAATGAAAATGACACATAGAGCCCAGAACTACTGCAAGCCAGAGCGAGGACTACCTTGGCGAGGTGTGCCTCTGTCTTACAAAGAAATGCAACTTCGACTAAAGACGAGAGAGACAGGAAGCATATCGACACGGTGGGGGAAGGGAGGAAAGCCAATGGGGCCCTTCGCTGATGTATTTGTCTTAAAGGATCAGATCAAGGTATACGTAAAAACAGAAGCACGAGAAAGGAACATTCAGAAGTGTCAGAAACGGGAACGAGCGTGGCCGAAGCCAAACTGTACCCCTTAATTATCAGCAGACACAGAAATGGCCCTAACGAGTTAAGTGGAAAGTGTAGTCAAATGGCATTTACACAATCTGCCAATGTATTGTTAACAAAAGATCACTCACTTAAAGGTGGGGAAATAAAAGACAAATATTTCATCATGCGACGAGCAACCAAAAGAAAACCAGCTCATCTATATTAGTGTAGCTTTATTTTTAAAAATTTTTTTTCAACGTTTATTTATTTTGGGGACAGAGAGAGACAGAGCATGAACGGGGGAGGGGCAGAGAGAGAGGGAGACACAGAATCGGAAACAGGCTCCAGGCTCTGAGCCATCAGCCCAGAGCCTGACGCGGGGCTCGAACTCACGGACCGCGAGATCGTGACCTGGCTGAAGTCGGACGCTTAACTGACTGCGCCACCCAGGCGCCCCAATATATTAGTGTAGCTTTAAATAGATCTGGAGACAAAAAAAATATCATCAAAGCACAACACAATGACAAAGCTGACGTCCCAGGGAAATAACACAGTTGTGATTGTGTATTTACTTGCTAATCGAAAACATATATTTATTTTTGTTGTGATATCCCTTTATAATGCTATAAATATTATGTGATTTATTTTATAACATGATTCGCCTATAATAATATAAAAATTACATTTGTACTATTATATCGTATGTTTCTCTCCATACATCCACACACACTTGTATATATCATCGTGTATGTAAATTTGACAGACGTACGGGACGAAAACCTCACCATGGCACGGTTTTTATGCGTGATGATTTTAACGCATCTCGCAATTGCGAAATAAAATTGTAAAAAATCAGTAAAGATTTAGAAAATCCGACCAACGCGATTAATAAACATAATTAACGAGGTTTATCTAACATACGCCAAATTCTGAAATCAGCATGAAAAATCTCACACTCTAACGAGAGCAAATGAAATAGTATTATAACAGGCCGTCCAGAAAGTTGCTCAACAATTCTGCAGGCAGGCAATAGAAATCTATGTATAACTGACTCCCTCCCTCTCCCTTGCATCTTGCCACTAGAAAAGAGTCAGTAATTTTGAGGGAGGCAGAAAGTAATACTAAAAGGAACTGAAATAATGGCTCTGGAGTATAAGATAAAAATTAAACTGTCTAAAAGAGGTAAAGAAGCCATGTTTTTGCATAACTGTGTCTGTGGAAAGGAAATTTTTTCTGCTGTGTGTGTGTGTGTGTGTGTGTGTGTGTGTACGCGTGCATGTGAGTTTTCTAAGATTAGGATAATACCATACAATCAACTTTAAATGCAGATGTGTGTTTTACTTCATATTAGGTTATGATACTTTCCTCCTTGTGCTTCTATCTTGACTTTTGCCCAGGACCCTGCCACAGCCACCACGTTTCCTGTGCACTTTCCAGGGAAGGAAACTAAACAGTTTCTCTAAATATAACTTATGGCAGTAATCACCTAGGGAATAGATTTTAATATCTTCTATAGTCAAAATGTATCTCCCTTTGTTCAGGCCTCAGATGTGGTAGAATGAGAATGTCTGTTTATTGCCTGAGCTGTAAAGGATGAGAATCAAGCTACTGTTGGAGAGTCTGGGTGGCTCAATCGGTTAAAGCACGTGACTCTTGATTGCAGCTCACGTCATGATCTCACGGTTCATGAGTTTGAGCCTTGCTTTGGGCTCTGACCTGACAGCATGGAGCCTGCTTGGGATTCTCTCTCTCTCCCTCTCTCTCTGCCCTTCCCCTACTCTCACTGTCTCTCTTTCTCTCAAAAATACATAAACAAACTTAAAAAAAAATAGAACGAAGCTACTGTTTTCATTTTTCTGACTGTAGTTGATAACCAGCACAACCCCCCCCCCCATTCTTTATAACCGAAGCCCCCTGGATGTTTCCTGCTCAGCCAATATCTCTTGACAGAAAGCCCACGGTTCTCACCTTGCTGAAATTCCCCACAAGTCCAGATCTTGAGGTCTTCTTCAGAAATGCAGGGATCACTGCTTATTTTGTTTGAGGAGAAAGATCAATTAGGAAAGCCCTTAGAGACTGAACTGCAAGCTATTATAATCTCCTGAAGGGCACAGGAAAAAGAAGTGTTTTGAAAGATAGCAATCAGAAATGGCACCGTGTAGAGTCACAACTTGACTAGTTTTGGTTCCCTCTCACTGTGCTGTCCCCTGGAGGGAGGTTATGAAACCATCCCGAGACTCCTCCCCCCCCCCCCCCGTTCTTAGCTTTCGATTTCATTAGTCAGAGAAAATAAACAGCTTCCTTCCTGTAAATACTGAGTCAAGATGAAAAATCAGAGCAAAAATATAATTAAGGGTTTTTGTTACAAATGTCAGGAGAGGGAAGGAGTGCCAACGTTAGAACTTTGTTGTCCCGCAGACTTACGTGCGGGTCCTTAGAAATTATATTCCCTCCAAAAATGTTCAAATGTAGGAGAAGTAAGATGAATCACTGGGCCACTTATCCCTCACTTCCTGTTTTCAGAGTTCTAGGATGAAATGTTGAAAGAGGCATCTATCTCTACTGCGCCCTTGACTGGACATCCTGCATATATGTACAGACAAGTCTGCTATGAAATCATTATGGGTTTAAATAGTGCCTGAAGCATTCACCCCGTTAGTAAGTGAGGTACTTGGAGGTAGAAGGTACCACAGAGGTAGAAGGTCATTAATATGTGAATCTTTCCTTAGATATATATCAAGGAAGTTGCCCTCTCAACTGTGACTAGGCTACTTAGCCTCACTGATTAAGTTAATGGTTACTCATACTTTCCGCATTATTCACGCATACACATAGCTGGGTAGCAAGTTCATATCATGACAGCGTTGAAGTCTTTGCAAATTCTGTATGAACACTGAACCACTGGACAGAGATGGGCCTGATTCACCTTTTGTTCCGCAATGGTTTGTTGTTGTTGTTGTTGTTCCCATGAAGGACAGTGGATGCATTCCAGAGTATTGGAAACCCTGAGATATCAAATAAATGGTACCAATCAACTGACATTATGGCTGTAACTCACCAGGTGATCTGCAGGTGGGATGACACCAGGACTGGGATCCCAAAGGACAGATGGTGTTGGTAGATGATCTGAGGTCATCTAAAGAGGAGAAAGCTGATTATTTTAATCCAGACTATAGTCGTGGAGTGGCTAGCTGAAGTCGAGATTTGAGACCATCTGAAAACGCCACCAAAGCATGAGTAAGTCATGGGAAGGCGAGGGGGATCTGGAGGTGTCCATAAACACCTGGGAGTGTTCATTGCTTCTTTTCAAGGCTTTAGGTTGCTGTGTCATGCGGCATGGAGCTGGCCTTAAGGTAAGAGGTGGAGGGGAACACCAGGGAGGTCAGAGAGGGCCCCATCCCAGAGATCAGAGGGTAGAGAACATATGGGAAGAATGACCATATCAGGACATTTTCCTGCTCCTTTTCTTTGCAATCAGGTGATGTAATGTCCCTGATTGGGACTCCTGCACATAACACACAGATTCCTGTCATCAATAAGGACAGTTCCGAGCAGTGCTCCATAACTCATACAGTGAAGCTGGAATTTTAATAGCTGAAACAAAGGAATGCTAAAAACGTGTATTTCTTCCTGGCTCACAGGCAGTAGCCAGACATTTGGTGACTTGTGCGGTGATGCAGAAAGCTCGCTAGTACAACATCCAAGAAACCTCGATACGGAGAAAAATGGATAAATTTACGCCGAGTTTTTATTGTCTCAAGTATTAATTCACATGGTCAAAATCCCCAGGACAAGTCCCCACTGGATTGACTTTCCGTGGGCCAAAGCTAACACACTGGTTTTTGTGAATACAGTTTTATTGGGACACAGAAATACTCATTTATTTATGCATTGTCTACGTCTGCATTCCTGGTGCCACTGAAGAGCTGACGAGCCACACGGTCCAGGTTTTCACTATATGGCTCTTGAAAGAAAAAAATCTCGTTAACCTGTGCCCTTAGCCATCAGGCTGAGAGAGAGCAGAGAGAATCTACAGGGAAAAGCAGAAGTGAGGAAGAAAACAATCACATCAAGAAACCACAGTCAGACCTTTTCAAATCCACAGTAGGACCGTGGAGAAAAGCTTGGTGATGAAGTCTGTGTCTCAGAGAAAGAAACAGAAAGGGAGGGTTGGGGACTGAACTGTGTTCTCCCAGATTCACATGTTGAAGCCTTACCCACCCCCACGACTGTATTTGGAAGGAGATAGAGCCTCTAAGGAGGTGAATAAGTTAAAATGATGTCATAAGGGAGGGGCATTAATCCAATCCTGGAGCTTTTCTAAAAAGAGGAGGTTTTAACACACGCGGAGACCAGGGATGTGTCCACACAGATGAAAAGTATGTGAGGACATGGCAAGGAAGTGGCCACCTGCAAGCTGGGACAGAGACTTCAGGAGAAAGCAAATCTTTTGATGCTTTGATCTGGGACTTCTAGCTTCCAGAATTGTGAGAAAATAGATTTCTGTTGTGTCAGCCGCCACCCTCCCCAACCCTGTCCCCAGTCTGTGGTAGTTTGTTATGGGAACTCTAGCAAAGGAATACAGGGAAGAGTGGCAAAATTCTTCTCCAACAGTTTATCCTAAGGGGCCGGTAGAAAGCTCGCTAGTGTGGGAGCCTCAGCTGGCTCAATGGATGAATTTACAGAACCACCCCCGCCAGCCTGCTTCCCTGAACAGCATGCTTTCTCAGGGAAGTTGATTTCTCTTTCAAAGGAAATGCAAAGTGTGATGGAGGTTTCTATGCGGAATCAGTCTTGTATCCCTGAGATAAAGCAACGGTTCCAGGATGCATCATCACTTACCACATTTTGAGAGATTCAATTTTGAGGTATGTGAAAAAGTACTTTTACATTTACTTTCAGGAGAGGCATTGGCCTTTATTTCTCCTTTTGCTTGGTCTTTATCTGATTTTGGTACGACATTAGTGTTGGCACTCCTAAAAGCGTGCACGTGACGTCACTAATGCTTCCTCCTTAGACGTTTGATAGAATTCATCAAGTGTGTATTCCGGGAGCTTTTATTGTGGGAAGGCTTTTGTTACAACTGAATCTCCTTGCATAGATATAGCGACATTCAGATGTTCTTTTTTTCTATGAGAGGTTTGGTAAGTTGTGTTCTCCAGGAATTTTGTCCATTGGATCTAAGTAACCGAAGTCACTGGCCTAAAGTGGTTCATAATATGTTTTTTGTTCTCTTTTAAATTTCTGTAGGCTCTGCAGTGTCCCCTTATGTTCCAGAAATTGGGCATTTCCACTGTCTCTCTATTGCCCTTATGTAGTCCCACTAGACAGGTTTGTCTCTGAGGACAGGGACACAGGGAAGCCCAAGGCCCAGGGGGAATGGAAGGAGACCAGAGGGCTTGAAGCCTCTAGCAAATGCAGCGAGAATGAACATTAAACACTGCCCGACAGTAAAGGTGTGTTTACCCCATTCCTATCACCTGACAAAACATGCCATGCTTTCGACAAACCATTATGGGGCATGTCTAAAGACAAGGACAAACAGTCTGAAGAGACAAGACTGGCATCTGAGCCAGACTCAGATACGACATAGATGTTGAAGTTAGCATACAGGGAATCTAAAGTGTCTCTGGTTAATATGGTAAGGGCTTGTGTTAGTTTCTAGAAATGCCACGCAAAAAATCCCACACATTGGTGGCTTCAATAACCGTACTTGATTTTCTCTGGGTTCTGGAGGCTGGAGTCCAAGATCAAGGAAGCAGCAGAGCTGGTTTTCTCAGAGGACCCTCTCTCTAATATGCAGACGGACACCTTCACACAACTGTCCCTCTGTCCTCCTCCTGATGTCTCTGTGTGTCCACGTTTCCCCTACACATAAGAACACCCATCAGACTGGATCAGGAACCAACCATATGATCTCGTTAGCCTGAATCACCTCTTTAAAAGGTTCTGTCTACAAATATAGTCACATTCTACTCTACTGCCTGTTAGGGCTCCAGCATACGAATTTGGTGCGGGGGACACAAGTGAGCCTGTAGCAGGGCTTTGGCAAAAAAAAGTAAAAAGCATGCCCCGAATGGTACTCTAAGCAGAAAGACAGAAACTCTAAGAAAGAATCAAAAGGAATTTTAAGAAATAAAATTGTTGAAGAGCGCCTGGGTGGCTCAGTACATTAAGCACCTGACTTCGGCTCTAGTCACGATCGTGTGCCGTTTGGGAGTTTGAGCCCCCATGTCAGGCTCTGCACTGACAGCTCAGAGCCTGGAGCCTGCTTCATGTTCTGTGTCTCCTTCTTTCCCTGCCTCTCCCCTGCTCTCTCGCGGTCACCTCAAAATAAATAGACATTAAACAACATTTTTAAATTTTTTTTTAACGTTTATTTATTTTTTTTGGGACAGAGAGAGACAGAGCATGAACGGGGGAGGGGCAGAGAGAGAGGGAGACACAGAATCAGAAACAGGCTCCAGGCTACGAGCCATCAGCCCAGAGCCCGACGCGGGGCTCGAACTCACGGACTGCGAGATCGTGACCTGGCTGAAGTCGGACGCTTAACCGACTGCGCCACCCAGGCGCCCCTAAACAACATTTTTAAAAAAATTTTAAAAAGAAAGAAAAATGTTGTGACACAAAAGATAGGTATTCAGTAAGTGAACACAACCAAGGAAAGGATCGGCGAGGATAGGTCAATAGAAACTACTTACACTGAAATGCAGAGAAAGAAAGAAAAACCAGAATAGTCACCATCGGCGACATCATAGCATAAGACACAGCATATGCTGCATCTTAGAAATCCGAAAGGTAAAGAAAATGCAGAAAACGTACTGGAAGGAATAATGGCAAAGAAGACTCCAAGATTAATGACAGACAACAGAACCGCAGAGACAAGAAGTTCAGACAATGTCAAACACGGGTAAATATCAAAAACTTACCTCGAGGAATATCATTTTCGAATTGCGGAAAACAAAAGACAAAGAGAAAATCTTGAAAGAAGTCAAAGGAAAGTACAACACCCTGTCTACAGAGGAACAAAGATAAGAATGCTGTGGCCTTCTTGTCAGAGACGGTGCAAGAAGAGGGTGAGGCGAAATATTTAAAACGGTTGAAGAAAAAGCCTATCAGTCTAGAATTCTATATCCACGGATACTATCCCTCAAAAGTGAATGAGAAAGAAAGGCTTGCTTAGCCAAACAAAAACTGAGGG